AGCAGGCCTCCCCCGGAGGGGGCTGCATTCAGGATCGGGAGGATGCGCAACCCCCTGGGCCTCTTGAGTAAAGGAGTGGCGGCGAGCAAGACTCAAGCACTGCAGGGAAGGTGTAAAGGCTCCCCCCAGGTGAACAGCCTGAGGTCAACCCTACACCTCCCCCCCTAAAGCCAGGGAGCATCACAAGCTCCCAAAGCCCAGGTTGCAGTACTTGAGCCAAAATGGCCACCTATCTCTCTCTCTCTCTCTCTCTCTCGCTGGCTTGGTTTCTTGCTGGCTTGCTGGGCCACGACTTATCTGACAAGCCCGAATGAGCAGCTCTAATTCTAACGCAGCATGAGAGCAGCAACAGCAGCAGCACATGCAGATCCAAAACCTGGCCTGCAGCCACGAGGCGAGAGATCGGCTCGAGCGTGGCAGTGCATGGAGCGCCGCTTATCACAGGGGCAATGCAAAGCAGCAAATGCTTCGGCAAGCATGTCGAAAGTCAACCATTCTTATACTACTTGCCAGCTCACACTAGCATGCTTCTGACCCTTCACTACACGAAGCAGAAGAACCGGCAAGATAAACTTTGCATGACCTCGCTTCCTCAAGGATGAGACTCTTTTCTGGCTCATGCGGACAGTTTCCGAAGCTCCTCGGCCTGGCACGAATGATCTGAGGCTATAGCGTTCACAGTCTTCAATTAGGCATGTGCCCTCTTCGGGTGTTATTGTGAAGAGGCTTTAAGAATCCTCCATCCAGACACTTGCATACTATGGCTGCCTGCCATGCATCGGCAGCATCGCGCAGGGCCTCTGCCAGGGTCTCCTGGACTTTGAACAGAGACCAAAGAGAGCGGGGGCAGCCTAGGCGGCTCCTCGGTGAGCCCTGAGTCGGCGAGCTGTTGCAGAAGGAAGCCGCCCTCCTCCTCGCCACTTGGAGCTCTCGGTTTGGTGCCGCTGAAAGGAAACATTTCGGCCAGACAGAAAGCGCCTGCAGGCCCAATGCGCTCAGACCTCGCGCCATGGCCGCCGTGAAAGACGACCTCGATTGAAGGGCCAGTTTTGTGGGGCGCGAACGTGCACCGCGCTTTCAACTTGAGCTAGGAGGCCCCATAGCCCGATGAATCGAAATCAGAGCTTGCGCCAGGGTCTGCGAAACCTGCCAAGCAAAGCAGGTACTGTAACCGGAAAGAAAGGGCATCTGTTTACGTAGCCTCCGTGTCTCTGACCACCGGCGCTGAGGAAAGCAGGCTCAGGAAGGCCTTTGCAAAGCCACATGAGCTGCCAGCCATGATCAGCCATGTAGCCTGCACTATGTAGCATACCATCAGCAATTACTGCACCCGTGCATGCTGCAAGAAAGCCTTGTTACTCCGACACTGCACAGAAAGCCCTCAAAGTCCAGCACGTGCCTCGCATGCCCAAGGAAGGGAGATTTCCAGGAGCTTCCTGGCAATCTCGGCACCGTGACAACCCGAGCATGTGACCCTCTAGGAGAGCTTCTGGCCACACCTCTGGTTGCAATGACCTTCTGATTTCGAAGCGTGCAGTCGCCAGCACCTCGCGCTTGCGGCGGTCTCCGCATGTTGCAACCACGCAGGGAAACGGTCCAGGAGCCTCGGAAAACGACTCAGAGGCAAGGGCTTCGGCAGGCACGGAAGTAAGTGACTGATTTCCCAGCACGCCAATGAGTACACTGATGCTTCATCCGAACAACTCTACTGAGCCTGTAGTGCGAACACCAAAACGCCAATCGACCAGGTCTAGCTTAGTGGCTTGCTCACCTTTACTTGGACAAGTCAACGCATTCGTCGGATCTGGAAGCAGAGTTGCATCAAGCTCCAACACGCCAGTCGTGGGCTTGCGCAGTTGCATAGAAGCCCACAGACCTCTGCTCGGAAATAATGTAAGAATACACTGGCTGTGGAATGTCACTTGCTAGCTCTAGTGCGCTGCTATGTCGTGCGTGCCACTGAGTACATCGATCCAGCAAGCGGCATCCGGTAGCAGCGGCTTGCCACAGTAGAGCTTATGCTGCTGAAGTCTTGGCAAAGCTCTGAACGTCCGACGTAAGTCGATTTCCTGCAGCCATCTTCGATGCAGCCACTGGCACCGGCTGCAGTAGAGCAGCCAGTATCTCAGGGGACGCCATCAGCTGCGAGGCCTGAACTGCAAGTCATGGACAGTACACCGAAAGCGGAAGACTGAATGGACAGGATGTAATCTCTGGCATGATGCTGGAATGCTCAAGCTCGGTCTTCAGGGCAATGACAAACAGGGGATCGGTGTTCTAGGTGGCAATAGGATTAGACTGCTGGAGTTGTTGAGTTTCCTTTCTTTGGTGCTACGGCGTGTCCATCCCAAAACCCAGTACTTCAACATACTTCAACGACACCGATCACGCAAGGAACACAGCGAGGGGATGCCATGCGACCAGCAGCTTGCATCGCGGCGCCAAGGCAACTGTAAATGCCTGCAGAGGCGCGGTCACATGATGATCGATACAGAGTGGCCACACAGGATTCAACTCCTGGTGAGAGGTCGAGATCGAATACACCAAGACTGTCTCTGAGAGCCTCTACACCTCGCACTTTCACAGGCCTTCCACTCACACTCTTGCTTGGAATTTGCGGGCTTGCGCTTGACAAAATCTCGTAATCTGGTAGATCCTGAGTGTCGAAGAAGTAGACGCGCGCGCGCGCGCGAAAGCGGGAGTCACTCAACATGCAGTACGAGAACTCTGTGTGGGGACCGTCCCGCCTCCAGCAGTGCTGCCAGGAGGTCTGGTGGTAAATCCTGCCTTGGTAGGATCGCTTGAAATAACAAGTCTGGCATCCGGCCACTTGATCATTCATGTCTGTGAAGTCACGAAGAGGGCATGGTGATCTGTAGAATCTTTGCCAGAAAACCTGTGCTTCTGAGGCACGCTTTGGCTAGGCTTGGGAGGAGCCGTCGCGCAATGGCCTGCTCGGCTTGCTGAGGTGCTTCCACCCCGCGCCCATGTTGTATAGTTACACAGGCTTTCACAGGCTTCCAGCTTCTCCTCCTGCTAAACCCCGACAGGTAGTCACGGGCGGCCATGTTATGCAGACAGTCAGAGCCAGCAGGGCCTTGTAAGTGCTCAGAGGCGTAGCAAATCACCAGAACCAAAAGCAGGCTTTCAATGCTCATGAAGGAAAACTGCCCGACACCCGACCGAGCCAAGAAGCCAAGATGTGCTGCGCCATAAAGTTAGCAGCTTCTGTCGTTGTCCCACCGCGGAACATGCGGGTCCTCGCGTGTTTACCATCTCATGCCATGGTGGCGAGCAAACTCCACAAGCACGAGGTAACCCAACCAGCGTCCGAAGCAAGAGCTCAGAAAGCCCTGGAACACGGAAGTGTCGCATTTCGGTCACGCTGACCACACCCTGCAGAGCTGTAGCGCTGCCACGCTCTGCTGCCGACTGTGCCAGTACTGGGAATGCCTGCAGGAGGACCTTGCTGCAAATGCGGATGTCTTTGCAAGCGTGTTGACAAGTAAGTAGGCCCGCTTGGTCCTGAAATGCATCGAATTGGTATGATTAGCTTGCACTTCTAGGCTGTCACCGCAAACTACATCTCGCTATTCATGACATGGAGGGAACCCTTGAGCCTTTCTAGCAGCATGCCAGACAGCAGAACATCGGCGCATTATTGACTGTACAAAAATGAGGTGGTGTGTGAAGTTCGTGTTCAACAAATCCGTAAGTGTCGTAAAGCTATACTTCGTTTGATGCAACCAGTTTCATCATGCAACAGACATGCTCCAAGCGGCTGATTGCGAGGCCTCGCTGTTCCGTGTCCGCGACAGCACAGATGTTAGGAGCGTAACTGCAGCCTCCGAAAGAAGAGCGCAGGACTCAGGACTTTGGCTCGTGACGATGGCACCTCGCATGCAGACTCGCTGTGACAGCCAAGGGCTGCTTCCATCCAGGGCCAGTGCTGCGAAAGCCACTCCTCAGACAAGCGTTCTGCATTCTGTGCACGTCTGACCCTGAAGCCAATTCGAAAGCAACCTAGCGAAAAATGCAAGCAAGGCTTCCAACGAAAGTTCAGGTCGGGCTGGCTCCGTCGAGGCCAGCAGGTTGAAGAAAAGGCGCCACAGCACCACCTCGCTCCAAGCAATATCACACCCATCATAGGGTAAGTAGCAGTTAGAACTGATGGTCTGGTCTGGCCTGGTCCGACAAGGCATGGCATAGCAAATTGTTCTATGGAGACCTACACGATAATGTAGTATATAGCACAGTAATTTTAATGTTGTATAGTGAAGTCAAGCACAATAGAGTACAGTGTAAAACAATGTAAACCAGTGTAGTACAGTATAGTACGGCACAGTACAGTACAGTACAGAACAGTGTTGTGGGCGTCGCGTCGTGTAGGCCGTGTATGCGTGTGCAGCTTATGTGCATGTATGTGTGCCTATAGCACAGTAATTTCAATGTTGTATAGTGAAGTCAAGCACAATAGAGTACAGTGTAAAACAATGTAACCCAGTGTAGTACAGTATAGTACGGCACAGTACAGTACGGTACAGTACAGAACAGTGTTGTGGGCGTCGCGTCGTGTAGGCGGTGTATGCGTGTGCAGCTAATGTGCATGTATGTGTGCAGGCACATACACGTACACACATACATACAGACATACATACATACATACATACAAACATACATACATACATACATACATACATACATACATACATCTGCATACATCCATCTGTCCATCCATCCATGCATGCATACACATACATACATACATACAATATTGTATATAAATATAGTGTACATACATATATATATATATATATATATCGCGAGTGGAAGACCAAGGCTGTGGATCTTGGTGGGGGTGACCATATGTTATACAAACAGGTGTATGCATGCGCATGCATGTGTATATATATATATCTATATACAAATGGGGTGGCCAACATGTTCGTTCTCACGCTCCAACGGTTGCCCCTGCCAGGATTTTCCACAATTTCCACGATTCCGTTCGCTGCAGGTTGAGGATTTCGTGGATATTGTTGACAGGGCCTTGAGGCACTTGCAAGCGAAACAAGATAGCCCTGGCAGCTTGTTCCAACAATTTTGCGGGTTTCTAAGCTATACGACTATACGACTATACGAGGCTGATATGGAGGAACAAAATGGCAAGCGTTGGTATGCGGTATGCTGCAAAGAAGTTAGCATGACCCACGTTTTTGCTTTTAAACCCCTCCAAAACTCGGGCCTGCCAACTTTTTCCAAGAAATCCCCAGGAATAGAGCAACAAAGCCACGGCCAACCAACTATTTTCAACGTTTCGCGGATAAAATTAACAGGGCCAACTGTTGGGAGCATCCGTGGACATTTTGGAACAAGCTGGCTGTCAGGGAGGATTGTTTAAAACTATACATGTACAATAACGTTGTCCCGGCCAATGTTTTCCACGAAATCCCCCAAGTAAAGTATGGATTGAAAAATTGTGGATTTCTTTTGGAAAAGCTGCCAGGGGCACGCGAATGCACGATTGATGGCCCTGCCCGCTCTTGGCACCAAAAAATTTCAGGTGTGAAGCACGGAAAATGGTGAAATTGTGCAAGGACCAACGAGTGCGCACTATCTGAAGTCGCTGGAGCACTGACTGTCTCGCTCACTGATCCGCTCATGTTAAGCTGATTTGGCTGTTTTCAGAAAAATCGACCCCTCGTGAGTGCTGAATCTCGTCGAGGGCAGATCGGGACATCCTTCTGCTGACGGAGGACTGGATGACCAGCCCAGTGGTCGCTCGCCAGCCCATCCCGAGCCTGACTGCCTATCTTCCGCACTAAGACAACTCCCTCCAGCTTTGGCCTTGACGAAAATAGCAAGGCCATGTGGACATCAGGGAATGCAAAGTCTGCGCTGAACCGAACACGTAACTTACTTCGTCCCCTGCTGCAATGGTCGCAAGCAAGTGCAGCAAGGTCAGGCTGTAGCGGCGGCGATGTGGTCACGTGGCACTGACGCTCGGACTGCTCCAAGTTTTCTTCCCTACCCCCCATCTGAACACTGTCCTTACATCCATACCCTTCTTGTGCCACCTGCCCTGCTCTCAGAACAAAACATGACAAAGCTCCGTAATCGTGTACAGAAAACATACGACAACTCCTCCATCTCGTAGCGAGAACTGAACGACATGTTGCAACTTTCATCAACTTTCATTCATTACTGAACAAAGGAAAGGCTTCATATAGGAGTTTCCTATATTGTCGAAGCCGCTCCGTCTGTCAATAAGAATTAACAAAGCTCGGATGGTGCTTCGTAAATTTCAAGCTCATCTGTTTTAAGCAGGACGTTCAGCTCCTGGATCTGCGAAATATATACGACTACATACAATACCAGTTTGATATTTCGAACCTTGTCAATAATTCGGCACAGTCTCGTAGTCTGTAACGAAACATCTAAGACTTACCAACATGGTTCCACGATGAGGAAGCTCGTTTGTCTCTCATTATGACAGCTGAAACAGAAATATGAAAGTTCTTCTAGTTCCGAAAATATCGGACTGAAACATATGACATATGACAACTCTTCGACCTTGCAACAAGGACTCGACGGCATGATGCCAACTTCAACAGGTAATAAACAAAGGAAACACATCATGGATGAGGTTTTCAGAAAGTGTGGAAGATCTTCCACTAACCAAGCTCAGCGGTTGCTTCATAAAGGAATCATCAAGAGCTCCTCAATCCCCCAGTGAGATGCAAGACCAAGCTCTTTTGTTTTTAAGAGGGCGTTCAACAGAATATGTACTGTATAATGCGAAACTTGCAATGTAATAAGATAGCATGACATGTTAATGTGGAATACCGTTGCAATACCATAATAAAATCAAATGTGCTAGACGAAGGTAGAACCGTTCTACTAATAATGCCTAGCGGTTGCGTCATAAAACAATCATCAAGAGCTCCTCAAGCCGCAATAAGATGACCTGCAACATGTAGCGCAACATTTGCAATGTAACAAGAGTTGATTTAACCTCATATCACAATGTACAAAACCATAGAATGATAGCGGATGCTATTCCATGGTATAACATAATGCAACATAATGCGAAATGGCAGAACATAATTTCACAGAAAGGTGCAGAAAGGTGCGCTGTGGGGGCAAAGTAAACATGATAACCAAACAACAAACAACGTGTGATACTGTGGAATGCCATATAGTATAAGAAAACATGTATATATATATACACATACACATACATACATACATACATACATACATACATACATACATACATACATACGTACATACGTATGTACATACATACATGTCTACATGCATACATACATACATACATACATATGTGCGTATGTACGTATGTATCTATCTGTCTGTCTATCTATCTATCTATCTAACTATCTATATCTATATATGTATATGTATATCAGCATATATATATATATACCGGTTACAAGCCATACATAAACAGTTAAACTGCACTAGATATATGCATCTTCATATACACGCACACAGGATCTGCATTTTCATATATTCGAAGTAGGTGTAAACATGACTTTTACATACTCTGAGTAGTATATGCAGAAAATGCACATAGAAATATATGCATGCAGTTCTAATTATACGATATCGTCCATTATAATGTATTGCGTGTTGTTTCATAGTGCTTGATGTTTCGTATTTGCGGTGCAGCATGAATCTTAATGTGTGTATATATATATATATCGATCTATGGACGTATGGTCTGTTTCATTATACCACACTTTTGTACACACATACATATATAGGGATACACTATATCATGTAAACTTCTCATTATCTAGAGTATACAACATTTGTACAAACATATCACATAACTTTTGCCTACTGCATAATTGAGCAACCAATCCCAAATGTACCATGTAATGCTTTGCAACAATAACATAATGCAGCACCTTATGGTATAGCAGAATGACGCGTGTTGCCGTTTGCTGACAAGCCACTCGCTGCACGAGGCCAGCTGGGTCGGCACTGGGAGGTGCTGCAGACCGCAGCGGGGCCACGAAGGCCTCGACCTGAAGTGAGGATTTCGTGATGTCTACGGAGACCTGCTGAAGTTGGTAGATTGGATCCGCGCTACGGCCTAGGGTTCAAGCTACAGCACCTGCTGCTGGAGGACAGCGGACGTGGAAGAACGCTAAGAAGAGATTGGTACATACAAGACATTGCATGGTCAAGGCGCAACTCGTGCCAACTGCACCTGACCATCCACATGGCACAGATGCGTGTGTCCGTACAAGCGCTCTGCAAAATGCAGCTCTTGCATAGCTGCAAGCGATGCCTTCTAATGATCCGGCGGAGTACGGAACTCGACGAGCCTCCTCCAGTCGAGACAGCAGTGGCGCCAGTGCTGAGCGAGCCGCTCTCTCCCGTGAAGTGGCCCCAAGAGGATTCCTCTCTGAGAAATTTCGATAACTTGCCCACTTGCCCGTGTTAAACTAGATCCCCGCAGCAAGCGGGACATAGACTGCTGCCACTCTCAAACACTTCTTCTAAGGTGCTGCCCGATGCAAAGATCCGTGAGGCGACGACAGCACCTGAGACCAGAGCGTGAAGGCTATGGTGAACTGTATTTCTTGGCAAATGTATCCATCACTTCCGTGTTCCTCCGCGACGCTGCGGCTTGCTATCGGTATGTCGTCAAAGGCAGGCTCCTGGCCCTGAAGCCGTTTCGGGCCCGGGCACGGCTCCGCCAGCTCCGGTCGCTGAGCCAGGGCACCAGAGAAGTTGGAGACCACGACCTCAACGCAGGAGCCCGTCGTGAGAACGAGGAATAGACTCTGAGAAAAAATGAGAACCGTTGCAAGTGCCGAAGTGCGCACCAAGACGCGCACAGGGACTCGATGGCTGGAGCTGTAGCTCTCGGAGAGCTTGCAAGCTGGAAGCTACCTGTGCATCGGTATCGCGACGTCAAGGCCATGCCGCCATGCAAGCGATACAAAACATGACAGAACCACAGCCTGAAAATGGATTTCCCCCTGGAATTAAACTCCGTTCTCCAAACCAAGCAGCAAGCGAAAACATGGTGCACTCAGCATGATGAGCCAAGGCCGGGGAGCAGGTCAGCAGGAGTCTGCCAACTTCGCCGGTTGGCGGATACCGGTCTGATGAAATCCATGTGTCCAGCGAACCTTGCTCTGATTCAGGTGCTGCTCCATAAGAACTGCGCCGCGGCTTGTAGGACACAAAGCTCGAACACAAGGTACACAACACACATCACAACACACAAGCGCACATACCACACCAATCACGAACACACCCGCCCGCCCGCCCGCCCGCCCGCACCGAACCAAACAACAAACCAAACAAGAAAGAACCAACCAACCAGAAACGAGAACTCGCACATCCTGAATGGAACTGGGTAGCAAATCAGCTCGGCCGCGGAAGCTTCCAAGACGCTTGCCCAGGGCTCCTGACAGCTCGGGTGCTCTGACGGCTCTGCGCGGACTCTAGGCGGCACAGAGCTTTCTGACATCTCCAATCCCACTCATAGATTCGGTTCAGTGAAGTATCGGCAGGCTGCAATGCGATCACGCGCGGAAGGCCCATCAGAAGATGCGTCAGGGGTACCTGAGTGAGACGCGCAACACAAACGTCGAGGTCGACCCAGATACTTCTACATCTAATCCGATCTGCGAGGTGCCGGCAGCTCGCTCTCCATCTCTGCAGTGCTCGCACACATCTCCTCGAATGCTGTTACGCCGAGTAGGTCAAGACCCCAAAATAATCAGGCTTCAAAACATAAGGGGTCCCCAAAATGACCCCGAGTGGTCAAACAGGATCCTTGATACGAGGGCCATCAGGGGCCCCTGGATCAGGCTCAGGTACCCCTAACTTTCCAAACAGCCGCATATGCGCCGGTTCGACCTGCTTTATAGCACTGGCTCACAGAGCCTGCCAAGACTCTGCAACAGCTGATCCAAAGGTGAGCACCATCTCCAAGTCAGCGAGCCCAGTTGCCGTGTCGAGCGCAGCAGAGCCAGATTGGACCTCCCCAACGAGTTCTGGCGCCGTAGGGTGCAATCGCCAGCAACAAAAAACCAGTGGGCAACTCCTCTTGTTCCTCTAACAGCATTGTCAAATTCAACTTGCCTGAAGCTCACGCAGCTTGGCAACGGCCTCTCCTCCGGCAGATGCTTACAGTCATGCTGCGGGTAGCCTTGTGGCCCGTGTGGTCCACGTGACCGATGCACTAGAGTGTTAGTATGCATAACGATTAAGATTTCGGATCTTTCCACCTTCAAGGTGCTGCTGTAACGAACTTGGGATTGCCAGTCAATGTGCTTTTGTTCCGTTTGTTCAAACACACCCGATGCTCTCGAGACAACACCCGCCTTGTCTTTGAGGAGCACCTGAACACCACACCGTCAGCACCTTCACAGCCATAGAGACTGCAATCTCTTTTTTTTGTATCTGCAAGCGGCTGACGCAGCAACGGCGGCTGCGCCCTGGCCTGTGCAATCCGCCCACGCACGCCCCAAGCAGCAGCCTTCGGGCCCTGGTCGGCGGGCCTTTCCATGAGGACTAAAGATGAAACCGTCTCGACATTCATGAACACAAAGGAAGCACAAGGCTGTTCCGCCGGTCTAGACCACAATTCCGCAAAGGACCAATTTGATCCAGTTTGATGCAATGCGAGAAAAGTCTGATACGGCAAGCTTGATGAAAACTTCGAGAGCTTACCCGATCACCTGAACCTGCACCGGTCGAGTGTCAGGCGAGGAGCAGGTCCAATGGAAGCTTCAGAGCCACCGGTAGGGCACAGAGGAGCCTTAGATTTCCACTGCGAGATGTGAGTTTGTGAAGAGAATCCCGAAGTCAGACAAGTCTTCGTCGGGATCCAGGTGCAAGTATGAAGATGCAACCTGCCCGGCTCGTTTCGGCCATGGCTCTGAGCATAAGCTGTGGCAGCAGCAAGATCCAATGAGGCAGACGACGGCTCAGACCGTAACCCATTGGCCAAGACCTGGGTTTACGCTTCGGGCCTAGGGGCACCAGCTTCGGATAGGGTGAGACAGGAAGGCTCGGAGTTCTCTTGCCAATCTCTTACAGCCCTTCCGCCTCCCAAGCGTCGAAGGCTCTGCCCAGTAGACCTCCTTCCACATCCACCTGGCACAACCACGATAGTTGGATTGTGTCGTTTCGGTCTTGATGCCCGCAAGAAGGATGCCTGCAGCAAGCTGCATGCAGTAAATTCAAGGTGTCCTTCGTTGAACAATTTCCTTCCCGAAACCTGCTGAATTTCGGTGTTGGTGGTCCTCGCCTCGACTCCTCCTCTGGGGCCCGTGACCACAAGCAGCCTCACACCTAAAGCGGAAAGCAAAACCGCTTCCTCTTTTGTCCTATAATGTCTTATTTGCCAGTGTGTCTGCAACCTCAGAACTATGCCTGCACACCTTTCTGAGATGTGGATCTAGTGATTTTACACGGATCGGCAGCATCCTACAGTCAGCAGGGCCCAAGAGTAATGAAAAAGCTAGGACACCCATTTCGGTGAGCACTGGCAGGAGTGACTCCGAACAGAGCCTCAGTTGAAGCATTCAGTATCAGTAGTTCCGTGACCAGGCTGACCAGCTTAATCGACAGCGCTTGAAGGCAAGCTTCCCTGAGCGAAGCGCTCACTCTCAAGACTCTCCGAATCTCAACGGTACGGTACTACATGCCATTGCGAGCAGCGTCAGAGGCAAGGAGAAAGCAGAGTGGAGCACCGTCAAGAGCACCTGGTGGACAAAGACAAGGCTCCTCTGCTTTGCTGAGTTCTGGAGCGAGTGATTTTCAGTCAATCTTGCAACGATGCAATATGCAACAATCCACTCTTGCCACGGCCCGAGACACCCCGGCAACGTCCGCCGCATCAGTTGGCTGAACTCCTGCGCTGCTGCTAGACATTGCCTAATTAATTAGACGCGAGCATAACAGGCGAATGCATTCTGTACGTTTGCAAGGCTGAGTGACCGAGTGGAGATTTTGATCTGTGACTCCCCGGCAGCCACCCATTCGGGCCCACAACTTCCACATCAACTAGTAACTAGTCATTTCAGGCTATAGCAGGATTCTCCCAGTCCAGCGTGAGGCATGCCCTGCAGGCCGCGGCAAAGCTCTCCCAGGGCAGCGAGAAGGGGCCCAAGGATCCTGATCCGGACGGCTTGCCCTGCAAGAACTGTCGATACACCCCACGGGCTCCTGTCAGGCAGGCGTCTCGGGTCCGTATCAGGCACAAAGGCAGAGCCGACCTCGGGCATGACACCGGGTTGGCTTTGACGGCTTGTCAAGGTGTGCACGTGCTGCCCAAACAGCTTGCATCTCCTCGAACAAGCTGCGGAACTTTTTAACTCATCCAGAGCAGCACCGACAACATTCAGTGCTGGCAACCGTGAAGACGTCTCTGTCCAATGCTGCAACAGCGTAGGTCATCAGCTACAACCAGCAAATCTTGAGAAACATCTCAAGCAAATGAGCGCGTGTTCGAGGAATGGTGTTGGATGAAGCTGACACGCCGCAGGCCCGCTAGGTCACTTGGTGCTCACGGATGTGCCCACGCTCAAGGTCTGTCTCTGACCGCAACTTCAAGGTAGTGCTGTAAACGTGCTGGCACAAGCCTGTCAAGTTTAAGTACTAAGACTGATCTAGCATGCTCTCGGAGAGCACGGGGTGGGAGAGACCACCGGTTCAACTGGTCAAAGGTAAGGACGAGCTGACTCTAAGGAGAGGGCAAGAGGCAGCGCTGCAGCAACCAGGGCTGCAGAGGCCTCCAGCGCCTGAGAGCTCTCCACAGCACTCCCCGAGACAGTGGATCCGTACAGCCAGGCAGCAGGAAGCCCGCACTCCAGCTTGGCAACACGCAGAACCTTCCAAAAACATGACAGAAAGTGGTGCAGACCCTGCCACAGACGCATCATGACGTATCACACCTCGCCCTGAAAGATCGGGCTTAGTGTGGTAAGCGCCGAGTGAACTCCTGGCACTCTACACAGCGTCGGGTTTGTTGTGAACCCGCGTGCATCACACGCACTGGCTCAGTCCTCTTCCAGGTGCATCAACGCCAATCATCGGCAGCCACTCCTGTCGGTCTAGCCGGAAGGGGCTTGCCTACTACCTCGCAATTCACCTTAGCCTATAGATGCTGCCTCGTACAGGCTTTGCGCCCGCAGCCATGCTGCTGCAGCGGACAGCGTGGCCTCATTCGCCGAGCGCCGAACTGCCTCCGAACACAAGGCACATGCAGGCAGACAGAGGTCGATGTGAATGCACTTCTCGCAATCTCCAACTTGACCACCGGCCCAAGTCCGACAAGCAACGGAATTATATGCCTCGACGAGAGCCGCTAAAATCACTGGCTGCCGATCGAGGAGAGCCAGCAGAAAGCGGCTTCTGTCGAGGCGGAGGAGGGGCAAAAAGGGCGGCCACTGTTCATCTGGCTAGACTTCACCTTCATCTGGGCATGTCAGTGCGGGGATGCACAGTGCAGTGTTCCAGCAGTTAACAGACTATCTGTCAACACTGCCTCTCTGTACCACGGCACGCGACTGCCTGCGTGAGCCATCCACCAAAAGACGTCGGCTGAAGGGCTCTTCTGCAAGCGCCTGAGACAAGAGCTTATGCTTCTCAAGGTGGCGCGACCTCCCGAACAGGGTTGCCGTTTATTGCTACTCCTTATCCGTTTACAAGGTATCAAGGATCATCTCTGACAAGCACGAGGAACAGGCTTGGCTATTGGCGGCCATTGGTTCATCTGCCAAGATGTCCATAGGTCTTAGAACAGGCTACCAAAACCTAAACGCGTTAAGTGGTACGAGTCGCGGATGGCTCCTTGCCCTTCAACACACACCTCTGTCAAACCAAAGCTATCGTTTTGGTGTCATCTTGGACACTCAGTTGGCCTCGGATTTTGGAGGTTTCACGTAGCAAGTCTTCCAGCTTCAGTTTGCAGAGGTGCAGCTTGCACAGGCAAGTGCAATCACTCAGCCTCAGTTTGCACAAGTGCAGCCTGTGCAGCCTCAGTTTGCACATAGCAGTACTAGTAGCAAGAGCAGCAGTAGCAGTAGCAG